TACTCCAAAGTGGAACAAACCAGCTCTGCTTGTGATAAGATGGTCTCTTTGGTACGCCCCTCCTCCATTGCCGGCCCTCTTCCTTGTTGGCAGTCTTGTCAAACTGGTTGAAAACAACAAAGTCCATGCTCAATAATCCAGGTATACAATCCAACATCCTTGATTTATACAGGTTTGTCCCATTGAGCCTCGGAGACTCATTTACAAGAGAGACCTGAAAAAGGATCAATACGTCATACGATGAAAGATGAATCGTTTTAGAGCCCGACTCGGTTTCCAAGTCACGTTTGTGTTTTCTTCTTTGATCTTTTTTCAAAAAGTTATTTTAAAAACTTTCAAACATCAACTGAAGACAAAAAGTGAGCAGCCGACCTGAATCCTGATGAACTTTATTAAAACCAAATAATTCTCGTAATAGTTCTGGGCACCGCAGGTCGTCCTCAACGTCCACCTGGACTACGAAACCTGTCCACACCTGGAGGGGAAAAAGGACATCTGACTAAATCCACCAACAGAACGACCAGAACCAGATCACCAGAACCGGATCGGACATTTGGATGTGAAGGTCCAAATACAAGTTTTTGACTGGAAGGACAGAACTCCAGAACCGGACACGGAAATGCTGCTGTCCCTCAGCTTTACGGTCCAGAAATAATGAGGATTCTCTCCTCCGTCATCCACACATTGGACCTCTAAAGTCCAGAACTTCAGTCTCATGATATCCAGCCCAGACCGAGGGTCCCGTCCTACTGAACCATGGGTTCTGGAGCTGCGAGCGCGCTCATGAAGGCCTCGTAGTGCTGCGGGTGGCAGCGCTGGTACTCCTGGAGTTTCCTGCGGATCTGTTCGAGCGTGTCCTGGTAGTAGTTCTTCTCGTCTTGGGCCATCGTCTTGAAGTCATCCTTGTGTTCTCGGACCATGTGCTGGACGAACTCGATCAGTTCTGAGGACAGCCATGAAAGGCAGGTGATGCAATTGTCTATCCCTGTGGGTTTTTGTTTGTCTGACTTTTAGCACGATATCTCATGAAGCACTGGACTGATTTTATTGAAACTCAGAAAGCAATATTTACTGCTGACCAATTCAATCAATCAATTCAACTTTATTGTCCATAACATTCAATGAAATGGAGATTTGTCTTTGACATCAACTTGTGGAGTCAATCCAACACGGCCACTACAGCTAATCGGCTTTGGCAGACCCCAAAATGACTAAATTTCAGTTAATTTTACAGATGAGTTCAAAGTTGATGTGTTTGTAGCAAAGACTAATCCCCACTCGTACTCTGAGTTCTTTTCCGATCACCTGAGATCTTGATTGAAAACTTTGCCATAAATGGGGATGATGAGTGATATACATTTTTCAAGGATCTTAAGTTTTTAATGTCTGATATTATTTAAGTATTTTATTTTTTTAATCAAAACATTTGTCTACTTCCTCGGCTATTCCAATAATAGTTTCAACTCTTCTCAGTTGTTTTTTAAAAATCTGAGATAAGGGATTATAATATGATGCAACCTGACTGAGAACAATGAATCCAGGACTAAGACTGAAAACCTCCTTTTCCCAGCTCTGCAGTTCTGATTGGGTAATCGTTGTGAACGGGGGAGTCTGCTGTAGCTCTCTGATTATCAGCAAGCGAAACATTCACCAGAGATTACTCTAGGCATGTCGGTAAAGATTAAAATGTTTCTTTTCACACTATTATTCACAGTGGCAGATAAAACTTTTCAGACTTGGACACAAAAACAGTGCAGAGTTCCAATATGGTGGTGTCAGTGGAGGCCGTGCTCTTAGGAAAGTTTATTTCTGTATTTTTACACAACAGGTCAGCCTGCTTGTCTGTTAGAAAGGATTTTCTTGAGCTCATCAGTCACTAGAAGGATCAGTACATGATATCCTGATGCATGCGCAATAATCCAGGCAGAAAAATCTAAAAAAGTTAAATCTGGTCCTCTGGACATTCAAAATTTTTAATGTCCAGAGGACCAGATTTACCAGTACATGAGTATGATTTCCAGTGCATGCTCATTCTGGTCTCTGTTTATTTCTTCTTCAAGGTGAAAATCCAACGTCTCACTCACCAGCTAGCTTTGGCTGCTGTTTCAGCAAGTACAGTATGTTCATGTTCATACCAGAGAGATTTCTGAGAAGAATAAAACTGCTTCTGATAAAATGGCATGAAGAGGAAAGTTTTTGACTTTATTTTTTTTCTCTTGTCCTGTCCGTCATTGAGACACTCAGAATTATTGTCTGAGTGTCAAAGTGATGCCCAACACATTTACTTTCACCAGCAGAGCATTATGGCTGGCCTTAATGCTCCACTTGATATATAAATTAAATTGTATTAGAATTTGCTTTGGGCTTGTTTCAGATGTAATGGACACGGGGATGAAAAACAAAGAAAATAACAAAGCAGAAAAGTGAGAGAAGAGTTAAAATGGAAAAAAGGAGATAGGAATAGAGGAGAGAGAGAGAGAGAGGGATAAAGAGAACACAAATCAACATCATTGAAATCTGACTCTAGACCTGCGGAAAGAAAACAAAAACAAGACAAAACCGAGAAACCACCACAACAAACAACATATATAATGATACTTATAACATTAGAAAGTATTTTATACAGTACATGGTAATACAAGATATATTTAGTGGTCTCCACAACCCAACTGAGTGTGTATCTGATAAACCCCTGGATCTAAACACCTGGATCTAAACCCCTGGATCTAAACACCTGGATCTAAACACCTGGATCTAAACACCTGGATCTAAACACCTGGATCTAAACACCTGTGTGAGCATGATGTCACTATAAGGTTTCTCCATAAAAATGTTCAATAGTGGATGTGGGGGCCCACAGACCCGTCCCCACAGGACACGAAGGTAACACATGGAAGACCGGAACCACAGACGACACACAGCGGGCCCCAAGCCCGGAACTCCGGGAGTCTCCCAACAGGGACACCCACACCCCCCAGAGAGAGAAGCAAAGGGAAGCCCCGGGCGATCCCCAGCAACCACAATGCAGAAACCCCAGGAGGCTGCAGTTCATACCACCAGGTCATACCACCCCCCAACAGAGGCCCGACAGAGCCAGGGCACCAGACCCCAGCAGGCAGCCACCAGGGCGGGCCCGCACCCACTCCACCACCCAGCCCCAGCTGCTGAGAGCCGCCAATGCACCAGCGGCAGGGGGGCACACCACAGGAGGGGAGCAGGGGGAATAGGCCCCACATTAAATGGGGGGCCCAAATTGATCCAAGGGAGGGGACCACCTAAACCCCAACCCGAGACATAAACAGGCACACAGAGAAGCCGTCCATGCGCCCCACCCACCCGACGGCGACCGCAAGTCGGCCCCAGGCCGGGGGCCAGAGCAGCAGCTGCTGAGGAAGGCCGGCCCAGCGCACCAATGATCAGGCACCCCTACAGCCCCACACCACAGGCCCGGAGAGGCCCCGGCACACCACCCATGCACCCCCTCACCTCTCCTTCATAGGACTTTGATGCATGTTGCCCACCTCCTTTCAGGGCAGAGTTTAGACTGATGTCATCATTTGTTGTAATTTGACAGAGTTGCAGCCATTTTGGTCCAACCTTGAAAACAACGTTATGATCTCATACAAAGACTGCAGGATTCCCAACTCAGAGTATGTGTTTGTTAGTGACTTTCAGCTACTACCAAATCAAATTTGAGCTCAATATTCGTACAATTGACTGGACTATGGTCATTTTATTGTTGGCTAATGTTGATTTCTGTAGCGCCCATGTTAAATTGAGTTTAATCAAAAAGTTGAGATGTACATAAATCCTTTAGGAAAATAAAATTCAAATTCTGTTCAGTGGTTGATGAGAGATTTACTAAACAGGGTTGACTCCAGCAGTTAATGTCAAAATTTAAGCAAAGATTTCACACAACACTCGCATTGTTTTGACTCATCTAGTCCAACACCAACATTTAGTTAAAATATTATAAAACTGACTGAGTTGTAACTGTTTTTTTTTTAACGTTGCCTTGTTGTGGCAACTATCTTGAATTGGGTCGACTTTAAAATGTTAATCGGTTCTGTTCATCCAGTGATTACTTCCTGCAAGTTTCATTAAAATTTGGCTAGTGGTTCAGGCGATATTTTGCTAACACACACACAGTCAAAAGCATTATTGTCAATGTCTTTTGGCAGTGGGTGATAATGATGGACACCTTTAATTTTACTTGTAAGTGCAGTGAGTATTATTAGACAGGAGGGGGTACTGTTCAAAAAGCCCTGCCCTCCTTTGCAAGTGTGTGTGGTGTTTGTTGACTTCATGGCAATGTTTAAATTTTCAGAATTTCACTAATCTATAGCTTGTTAAAGCTGTGACAGCTGACAATGTGTGTGTGGTGATAAGGTAAAAGGCCACACATTGTCAGCATTTTCTCAACAAACTTGTGAAACCTCTGGCTGCTGTCCAAAAGACACGTCTTCATTATCCATAATCGACTGAACTTTTAAGACCTCTGAAGAAGAACGGAGAAAACACGTGACCCACTTTGCTTACTTGCACATTTGGCATCTAATATTCTCTGCTCTGTGTGGTTTATAGGCTGCGTGTGATAAAAGCCCCCTCCCTCTCATTTTTTTTGTCCTCAGCTCACACATACACTCTGTATTTTTGGTTAGGCAGCTCTGCAGGCTAGATTCCTAAGCAGTGAGTTGATCGGACACACCCAGACGACCAAACAGAACTGCTTAAAGTCACATCTGCCTCAGCATTGTTTCACTCTTCAGACTCTCCCTCTGCTTTAAATCTTCACTCTGGCCCTTCAAGCATATTTCTGAACCCTCCTCGCCTGACCAAGTTCAAGGTTACCCCCCCCCCCCTGAGCTGGTTTATTCACTTTCCCTTGAAGGCAGCAAAGCAAGTGGGTGGACCATTTTACCCAACTGTCCAATCCGACCCAGCCTGCTCTGCTGGCTGGTGGATAAAGAGGAGGACTCCATTCTGGCTTTTATGAGGGTGGAGCAGCAAGTTTTTCACCACTAGGCGTGTATGCCTCTGTGTTTGTTGTTTTGTGTTTATGTGTGTGCACGGGGCTTTTCTTGACATACAGTTTGGACTAAAGCGAGTGTCAGCAGCCTTAGGAAGAAACTCTTGGTGGGGGTGTACAGCAACATACAGGACACACTCAGAGTCAGACTTATGGTATGTATCTGTGTGATGGTGGACTTTGTTGTTGGTGACTGCCTACGTGGAGAGAGGCTTCCTGTTTGACTGATACCTGTCAAATCTCTCTTTCGGAGAAACATTTGGCTGTTGTCTGACTAAATGCTCACTGATCGTTCATCTGACAGCTTTTACCAGCAAGTTGTGGCGATCAACTTTGTTGCCTTTTTGTGCATCTGTCGGATTAAGAAAAGCTGGCTTTGGACTAAAGATTAGGCTGCCATGTTGGTTACATGAAGTGCAGCTGCTGCCACCAAAAACGGGGTAAAAGGAAATGAGCCTCCACGAGGGATTCTGAATTTCCAGCAATGGCTACAAGTTTATTTCAAAAGCAAGTCGTACTCAAAGCGAGCCAGCGTTACCATAGTGTGCAGTGCATTACAAATATAGTACAAGCACTTCAACATATAACATCAGTGCCTCTGTTTCTGAACGGAAAGCACGTAAGAAGATGCAGAAACTTTAACTTGAAATGGCTGCTTTCTTTGAGCTTGCGTTAATGTGACATTAAAATAAATGAACAGTCTGACATTAACCTAGAAAACCCAGCACAACAGGTTTTAAGAACGTCACCGCTCTTGAGTTTACTCAGCTGTCTGCTTGCACATATATCCTTCTTGTCATCTCCTCCCTGCTGGAACATAAATTTTACACTTCTGTCTGAAGTTCTTGTCTTGATACAAGAACTTTTCTTGTCCCTGACGAGGCGATCTACATCCTCCCTCCTGACCCTTTAAGCTGCCAGGGCTATTTTGGAGCAGACCAACCCGCTTGCTCAGGAGTCATTTTCAGCCTGCATTGGGTGGGGCAAAGCATTAGTCATCAGTTTTCACAAGAAGGCTGAGCTTTTGTCACTGCTGTTGGATAAGGTATTCATGTTAGATTGTCTGTTCACACATGGCAAAATCGTCATGCAAAGCTCTGTCCCGGCGTTTCATATTTTTGCAGCTGCTGTGCACGTACTGTACAAAACAAACACACCTCTGACTCGTTTTCCACTTCATGGGGAAGTCTCTCGGACATGCCATCTTAATCCAGTGTTCATCATGACAGCCACGGGCTTTTTTAGTCATGTGATGAGTGCTTTTAAAAACCTTGTTGTTGATGGGAGGCTCCTATTATCAGCAATGCTATTGACTTTAGGGGAGAACTGATGAAGTTCTGTGATCGACTGTAGCGTCACTGCACATTTAGGAGACAAAAACATGTTTACAGCTGAGTATTGTGTGATATAATTGCAGTTGTAACATTTGTATGTTAAGTGTTTACAACTTAAAGTCGGTCAAACGACACAATTTGACCAACTTTAGTGTTTTTGCTTTGTGGCAAAGCAGACATCGCGCTGCTCTAAACAGAATTACATCTGCTCATTTTCACTTTTATCCATAAAAGGTACAGTTGATTAAAAGACGTGTACGTATTACGAATGTATTGGTTTGAAATGGTGTGTGTGAGGGTTTGAAAGAGAAGTGTTCAAGGTACGACAGGCGTGTTCAAGTTTTATCAGGGGTGCTTGAAGAGGTGTTACTGATGAGATCATGAGTTCTAAGAGCTTCTTGAAGGTGGAGAGACGCCCCCGTGCTCATTTGATGCCAGCTCCTTTCAACATTGTAAACCAAAACAACAGATTAGACTAAAATTAGTAGCAGAATCAGGTGTTTCTGAGAAAAACGGCAATGGAAAATGGGTGGCACGGTGGCTCAGGTAGTAGAGCTGTTGCCTCTCAAACGGAAGGTCACTGGATCGACTCCCGGCCGGGGGACCTTTGCATGTTCTCTCCATGCATGCGTGGGTTTTCTCCATTGTGACCTGTCCAGGGTGTCCCCCGCCTCTCGCACAGTGACTGCTGGATTTGGGCACCAGTGACCCCACGACCCGAAAGGGAACAACCAGATGAAGATGATGGATGTATATTTATCTTTTTAAACGAAAATGCCTTTTTAAATATTGTAACATTAGTTTTGTTTTATTTCAATGGTGTTATTTTGATGGCATTCCACTGAAAGGCATCAGAACACAGAGTTCATACAACCACTTTAACGTCGTTCAGTCCTGACTCCACCTGCACACTTAATGTGCTTTAGATTTGAATTGCATGACGTGGGGCTTGTTTTTCATGTGTAGTCTGTAGATGGACAGCCTATTATCTACAAGCTGCAGTAGAGGAAACATGAGGAATGTAGGACAGCAGCTCCAAGAGGGCAGAGTTCACAGAAAAACACAAAGTAGTTTGGGTTGGTCTTAGGCGAGCTGAAGTTGTTGCTCATTGCACTCAAAGTAAAAAATCCAGTTGTTCTTTTAAGTCAAACTCTCACATTTGGTGCTTTTTCTTTCTTGTCTGCGTCCCAGTTGTTCTAATGTTTTATACAGCCTTCTGTATGAATAAGGGGTGAGATTAGGGGCTGAGTGGTTAAAGCAGCCGTCCTCCAGTGAAAGGGATGGATTGATTCTTGGCAGTATGCAGTCACATGTCAAAGCCCCTGGTCAAAACTTTACACCCCTCACTGCTTCTGTGTGCCCTGTCAGTGTAAGAATGTGATTTAAAGCACTGATTAGTCTCTAAAGAATGATTTATTCAGGTTATCTTTGTAGAGATGTAGTAGAATGTGTGGATGGATGGGTGAATGAGGCCACAGATTGAGCTGTAAAGCACGTTGAGTATACTGGTTGACTAAAAAAGCTCTAAAATAGTCCATTTACTAATGTGGAATATCACATTTGACTTTATTTAACGAGGTTAAGTCAGGTCCTCTGGATGGATTCATCTTGTTGAACCGTTTCGTCTTTTATCCAAAAAACTTCTTTGATATATTTCTTCCATTCTTCAGACTGAAGAAGTCCTTTTGGATAAAAGACGAAACATTTCAACAAGATGAATCCATCCAGAGGACCTGACCTGACTTAATAGATTTATCTACCTGGATTGTTGCGCGTGCATCAGGTCATTTGACTTCAGTGAAGAAAATAAAACTTTTGGCTCAGAATCATGTTTGGATAAAGTCATCTTTGTTTCTGTAAAACATCCACATGAGCTTTAGATCAAAAGAAGCACTTGGTTTTGTTGCTGCAATGATGGTTTTAGCACAGCATGTCCTGCCCGTGTTAAATGGTACCTGTCAGAGGCGGGGTGCTTGTGCAATGTTTCTGATGTCAGCCTCGAGGAGAGGCTGTTCAGGGTGTAGTGTATGACTGATTTGTTTTAAATGCAAGTGAAGGTTTGGAGGGGAAGGTCCGTGTGATCAGAAGCATGTTCCTGCAGATCTCAAGCTTTGCCTCTGCACTCTGTGAACTGCGCCCGCAAAAGATGATTCAACTGTAGTAAGACGTCTGTATTAAAAAAGGGAGAATAATGAACATTTGTTCTCAGCAGACGGTATAACTCATTCATTGTCTCTAGTTATTGAAGATTTAGGGATAAATTGAAAGCTTTCAGTGTTTACTATAGCAACAGTGGCAACATAACTTCCTCTTGTTTTTGGAGGGTGTCCTGAGTGTATGTGACCTCATTTATCACTCTGTCTCACTTCCTTCTCCAAGATTCACTCTGCTAACAGTTGATCCTCTGATGATGATGACAGTCCTTACGAAACCATGCAGTGGTGGCTCCTGAGCAAAATACTAGTGAGGCTGACATTCATTTTCTAAAATTACTAACCACAGTTTTTTACAAATTACGTTACATTTTCTGTAAAATAAAAAAGGACACATGTTGCTTACTACTTAATTTTTCTGTGTGTATGTATGTGTATATATAGATAGATAAATGGATCTAGATAGATAAATGGATCTAGATAGATAAATGGATCTAGATAGATGGATCTAGATAGATAGATGGATCTAGATAGATAGATGGATCTGGATAGATAGATGGATCTGGATAGATAGATAGATAGATAGATAGATAGATAGATAGATAGATAGAT